ACCGATTTACGATTTTTTAACTGAAAATTTTAGCACCACGGAGAAAAATTATACATCGCGGTAAGACGATACCACCACGGAAAAAATTATACATCGCGGGCACGCGGTCCTTTAAGGGCCTGGGGAGAACACTGGCCGATTGTAAAAAAAATTTACTTATACAAGTGAATTTTTGAGTAAATTAAGGGGAGATTATTCAAACATTATAATTAACTTATATAAGTATATTTTTTTTTACTTCTTCAAGTAAATAAAGATTACCTGTACAAGTAGTACCCCTGACTGACTTAACATTCAAAATTGCTAATTAATTCAGTCACTGGACCATGTCCTAGGGGACAGGGCCTCAAAATAGTCGTCAAACTGATATACATGTAATGACAGTAACGCAACTTAATACAAAATATCAATGATCTATCACAAGTAGTTCCTATCAAACTAACTTAAGCAGAAAACTTATTAATTATTGACACAGAAGCCAGAGCCTGAGCTGTTGTCGTCGCTGGAAAAGTAATCCCTATGTCTCGCTTTCTGCTGCTTTCACCGCAGGCGAGACAAAAAACTATGAAACTTTCTAGAAATTGACATGTTTTAAGCGATTTTAGAGCAGAAATAAAATGACCTGCAATATTGACTAGACAGTTAAGTAAATTTTTTCACAGGTTCCTTGAACATGTTGAATGAACAGTTTTATTCATTTTCTTGAATTAATATATAGATAAATAAAGTGTCCACATGGGGTTGTCTATTTATCATCTAATTTAGGGGAAACAAATCCACTGTATTCACAATATTTACATATTATTTGTAAAAGGTCAATTCTATTATGTCTGATTTCTATAGCATACTGTTTGATTTCATTAAAAGTATTGAAGATATCATCTCTCATTTACAATTTTTTATTCCTGTGTGTATAATGAATTTTATTTTTATTAAGTTACAATCCATTTTAATATTTAAATCAATTTTTAACAATATTTTAATGAATCAACATAATTTTCAGCACAAAAATTTTGAAATGGGAAAAAATAAGGGGAGAAATTCTTCATGAATTCATGAATTTATTATAAAATACATATTTTTAGTTTTCTGTTTTAAATACTCATTTGAGGGTCCAAATTAATTGTGGCTAATGTATCAAACTCATTAAATTGACTGTCAAAATGGAAGAAAAGTAAGTGTTATTGTTGAAAAAGAGAAGGAAGACTCTATAAAGAGACAGGATATATATCATTGCTAGCTTGGATGTGTTTCATACAAAATAAACATATGCATTATGGTCAATTATTATAATTTAATGGGCAACACTTGCAACAGTTTATATCTATTAGTATAAACAATTTTAACGGTGTGTGTACATCTGTCGGCACTGTTTGAGTACAAATAAATTTGATTGTGCAGGGTTTTCATTAAGAGCCGGCACCCGGCGGAATGTCGCCGTTTCAAAAGACGGAAATCGCCGGTTCAAATGCTTAACAAAAAATATTTTTTAAGAGAATAAAATAAAAACAAAGTTTTATTAACCTTTTGTCTCATGGAGTTTTTAGTTTCATAGATTTTTCAAAAACGATGGCTTTTTTATAACCGACTGGACCATTTTGTCTGACTGAAAGTAAATTTAAAATCGGCGCCAGTAAGACGTTTGCCTGCATTCAAATACGATCTTCAATCAATCGCTTGAATGATCAAGATTGTCAATGGTAAAATCAAGAGAGATATCGAAATAAAAACGTATGTTATCAATGGATAACTCATGAGAAACCAAAATTAAAAAGTTTTAGGAGGCAATTTTTTAAATTGCATGTAAATAAATTAAATGAAACTGAATGAAATGAAAGACCAAAAGTAAATGATTTCTTTACCAGCAAAAAGACAAAATCATTGGAGCCATTTACAGCTTAAACTTTTTATTTGAAGTTATTAAATTTCAAAGAAGCCTTAGAAGGTCTGTACAGTCTCATGTTTATATAAATGAGGCCTGCCCAAGCTTGCCTTCTATGCCCTTTTTATAATTTAACAAGTATTTCATTAATTATTACCACCCTTTAACTCTTGGGGAGGGAAGGGGGGTTGAAAATAGTGCCTAGGCTAGGAGGGGTGCTGCCTATTTTTTTTTTTTTTTTTTTGACCTTTTCTCTCCAGTTTGTAGTATATAGTTCCAGGTTTGTCATTGCCCATTTGTTGTGGATGGGGCCATCAAAGAAGCCTAGGATAGGAGGAAGGCTTCCCATTTTTTATTTATAGTTGGACCTTTCCCGTCAAGTTTTACTGAAAAAGTAGGTAGGAGGGTAAATGCCAAGGCTATGGAAAAGGCTCTCTTTATTTTTTTCAGTTATAATTTCCCCCTTGCAGATCATTAGCCCACTCGTTGAAAAAAGTACCAATGTTAGGATGGGTCCTGCCTCAGTTTGAATTTTTTTTACATTAACCTATCTCGAATGGAAGCCTTTGTTAAAAGTGCTAACTCAGAAGGGGTAGACATTTTCCCACTTCAGCATATATGTCCTTTCCCAGATTTGCATGTTTTTATTGAAATATAGAACACATGAAAATAATATTTCTTTTCTGGATCAAAACTGAAATTGTCAGATTTTGCAGATGACATATATATGTAGGTCTTTACATAAATATAAGAAGATGTGGTATGAGTGCCAATGAGACAACTCTCCATACAAGTCAAAATTTGTAAAAGTAAACCATTATAGGTCAAAGTAAGGCCTTCAACACGGAGTCTTGGTATTAATAGTTTATGCTGACCCTCCGTTGCTTACTTACTTTTTGCGAAATCTGGCAATACAATAACAATTAAGATTATTTTTGATATATTTTTATTTGTCTTATTTTAATACGCAATATCACAAGATTGACCTTACAAGCTAATAAAAAAAGATAACATTCCTATGAAACCCCATTTTTTATGCACTTGTAAATAGTTTGAAAATGCCTCAGAGTGCACCATTTTCAATGTAAGGTCAAAAAAATTTTCGGGGGGGCAAGCCGCCCCTGAATCCCCCCTTTTTTGATCAGCCACTTCAAATTAGTAAACAGCCTGTTCATTGAAAAGTTATTGAAATCCCTGATTGTGTCACTGGTCAGCGCTTGCTTGGAAGGTGAGTGAAGCCATAAAATTGTTGTCAGAAATCATAAACTATCTCAATATTAATTAAAACACACAGGAATCCAGTGACAACATATGCAAGCGCTCATACATGTATATCATTTAAATCCAATCAACGACACAGGTTAACCAGATCAATTAAATCGACAACATGTTGTAACCGATCAATGTCCTGGTTAAATTTCAACTGGATTTTTATAACACATGGATTAGATTTAAAAGTGGGATGAAATTTTACCGACAGTATTATTTTTTTACTGAAAATTATAGCACCACGGAAAGAAATACATCGCTATGACTGATAGGCCAATGGGTCTGTAGTGCTTTAGAGGGCCAGGGGAGAACACTGCTATATATATCCCCAAATCTGGTAATTTCACTAATAGGTAAGTCTATTATATTTGAGCAGTTTATATAAACGAATAATTACCAGATGTATGAATTACAGGGCAGCATCGGATTTAAGGTATCAGGTCCGTTCGCGCCCAATACACTTTCACACCCTACACATTCGCTCCCTAGGTCTGTTCGCACCCTACACATTCACACACAATTTTTATTCAAATTCAAGCTGAATTGTTATATTAGATATTTTTTTTATAAGTATATACCAAAAAAAAAATATTTTCCTGAATAAAAATTGTGGCATTATTATATGAATGTTTTGGTTTTTTTTATCAATTTGATGATTAATTATTAAATATTAATTATGTACAAATGTATGATTACTGCTAATTAAGTAATTGGTATTTATACACAGCTAAATTTTGGTGTTATTGTTGTGTGTTTGAAAACCATGATTGTTGTTTTAACTTGCTTTGATGTAAATCTGCATGTATTTAGCTTGGTATGAGTAAATCATTGAAGATTTTAAAAGAAAAACACGAAAGATAATTGATTTTAACAGCTTGGCCCCTTTGATCTCACTTTATTTTGAAACAATGAAAACAAAAATTTATATCACAACACTAATAAAAACATAATTTAAAATTTATTCAGCACAAAAAAAAAAAAAGTGAAAATCTCACGTTATTTTGAAACAATGAAAACAAAAATTTATAGCAATACACTAACCAAAAGATGATTAAGATTTATTCAACACAGGAAACAAACGTTGTCAGAATCTGACTTTATTTAGAAACAATGACATTTTTTTTAATAGCAATACACTAACCAAAACATGATTAAGATTTATTCAACACAAAAAAATGTTGTCAGAATCTCACTTTATTTTAATTGAAACAATGAAAAAAAAATAGTTATAGCAATACACTTACCAAAACTCGATTACAAAATTATTAAACACAAAACCAATAAAAAGAGTGCGAACCGACTTTCAGTGCAAATGTGTAAGGTGCGAAAGTGAAAGGGGGTGAATGTGAATGGGCGCAAACATATTTTTGGGCAAACAGATCCGGATTCCGAATTTAAGCACAAATTGCTGATTTACTGAACCTGTTGAATAGACATTATCGCCATTCGGAAATCTGAAAATTTATGATACTTGAACTATTGACACAACACACAACGATACATTTTCTCTTTTGGCGTAAGACATTTTCTCTTGTGACACATCAAAATGTTTATGGGAATTAACATCCGTGATGTCCAGAAAACATGGTTAATTATGTTGGACAATAGAGATAATGTGATATATTGGAAAGTCAATGTCATGGGGAAAATGATACCTTCCTCCTATGTCCTGTTCATGTAATCCCTTTTTAGCGCTTCCGAGTCCAGAGCGATTTTCTTTCAAATCAGAAGGGATTTGAATGCCTAAAAATGCTCCTAGACCCAAAATTCCAAAAACTAATTATTTGGGAAAAGAGAAAAAATGTACTGTTCAAGTAGTGGATATGCTTTGAAAGGATGAATTTAATACCTTAATCAGTCAGAGGAGTATAATTTCCTACAAGAGGTTATCTGCTCACTTTACAAGTGACTTCAATTTATTTTGTCTTTTCGGTCAAGAATGAACTTGAAGATGATCGATTCAAACAATGAGGCGAAAACGTCCTGATGACTTCGACTATTTAAACCTAACAATTACTTCCGGTTTAGTTAACCAACACGTAGAGTTTAAGCTGTTTCATACAAGTTCCCCCTTTCAACCTTTAAAAATCACATCAAAATATACCCCACTACAAAGATTACTCTCTATGTATTTATCAAAGTTCAATCTTTTATGTAATAACGTATGTCCGCTAACCAAGACACCTGTGTCAGTTTCAACTGATCAAGAGAGATTTTGAGTATTTGAGGAAAAATCTAAACATTTTAAAAGAATTTAATACGTAAAATAACTAATAACGGTCATATTACGGTTTTCCTCCAATTTCTCTGTTCCACTAATTGATAAATGGGACAGTTATTTGAATCCGACCGCCTTAAATGATTGACATTGAAGACACGCCTCTTGAACCTTCTTCCTGGATACAAGTCAACAAACTTTATAATTGCCTCTTTCATTGTAGATAAAGCGTGTATCCTGCTATGGTGATATGAATTTGAATGGGTAGATCCAACATAGCAACTTGAGAAGGGTCCTTCCTGTCACCCCTGGGAAAATAAGCCTGAGCTTTGACAATTAGGTAAGTAATCCTATCATGAACTTGACAACGATATTATCTAACAGATAATCACAGAAGATTAATTAAAAAAGTAATAGCCTGCTTTGCTCTGTTTGATTGTCTCCATTCAAATGCACATCTATAAATAATGGGGTCATTGATGATTTAAATGGCAGCTCACTTGATAATAAAGATCTTCTGCATGTGTTAAGAAGTTTTCAAGGTGTTTTGGACCTGTATGATGCCATGGAGTTATATACAAAATAGTGCTACATTATACAAATGTACATGTACTGAATTCACATGGCATATTTTAAAGCATTTCCAATGATAGGACAGAGAATAATATCAAACAGGAAGCAAAAAATTCATGATCTGTACCATAGGAAAATCCTAATCAAATGAAATTCAGAGTTAAGAATGTTGATAAAAATTGGTATATTTTGACATGTACTATAATTTTGTTATTCAAATGGTTTTCTTGATGTATTTTTTTATATGCTGAAATCATACAACTTCTGTAACTTATACAAATTAACAATATTACATGTAGTTGAATTAATTGAAATTATTAACATTGCCCCATACAGTAGACACGGGGCAATTTAGTTAATAGCATCTCTTTTTGTGGTGATTTTTCAGTGAATGATTGTGATTATAGGCAATTTTCTTTGTACATCTGTGTATTCCATCAATATAATAGAACTGACTTAAGCCAGATTTTGACACCTTCAATCACCAGCTATCACAAGGATTCACAGTGAATTCTGTCCTAAAATAAACAGCTGCGCCATGAGCGCATGATACGCCCGTCGTCTTGTGTGTGAATTTTTATGCAATAAGCATAAATAGTTTCTGACATACGGCGTGACATGCGAAAACCCCCCTTTTTTTAACAAAAAACTCAATATCTCTAAAATAAAATTTTGAATCAAAACCAAAAAGTATACAGATCTTTAGATTAATATAACTAAGAAGTGTGTAAAATTTAAAGCAATAATCATAAATCGTTTTTGAGGTACGGCGCGACATGTGAAAAACCCCTCCCCCTTTTTTTACAAAATACTCAATAACTCAAAAATAAAATTTTGAATCATCACCAAAAAGTATACAGATCTTAAGGTTAATATAACTAAGAAGTGTGTAAAGTTTTAAGCAATAATCATAAACTGTTTTTGAGATACGGCGCGACATGTGAAAAACCCCTCCCCCTTTTTTAACAAAATACTCAATATCTCTAAAATAAAATTTTGAATCATCACCAAAAAAGTATACAGACTTAAGATTAATATAACTAAGAAGTGTGTAAAGTTTTAAGCAATAATCATAAATTGTTTTTGAGATACGGCGCGACGTGAAAAAAAACACACACCTGTTTTAGTTACTAAGTCCCGTAACTCAAAAAGTTTTTATCTTATTTTCACCAAAAAGTATACAGATCGTTTGACCATCATAAGAAACAACTATGTTAAGTTTCATGAAATTTGGATAAGTCATTCTCAAGTTACGGTGCGACATGTTTTTGCCAGACAGACAGACGGACAGACAGACGGACGGACACTGGACATTTGTATACCATAATACGTCCCGTCAAAAATTGACGGGTGTATAAAAATTAAGTTTTATCATTGTTTATATAATATGCCATTATGGGATTTATACTTTAAAATTTGTACTACAGAAACTCATGATTACTATTTGCATTTGTACTTACATGTTTGAAATTTAACAAAATCTTGAATATATACATATATATTTATATAAATTAACCATCATGCCATTTAAGTATACATTTTCTCTTCTCTGTTATACCCCTTACAAACAAAGTTTAGGGTATGAAGGAATCCGCTTGTCTGTTCTGTCCAACTTCTTTGTCTTTTGTTTGATTCACTTCAAACTTTGTAGCATGTTTACCCTTATGAGAACCAACCTTATCATTGCAACTGTTCCTACATGGTTTATCACAATTAACTTTGTACATTGTTAAATGATCTGACTCATGCATGTTAGTAGGATATTTTGTTTCAATGATTTTTTTTTTAGTTATGCTGTTTTGAACATAGAAATTTTGACAGAACCGACCTTGTAATTGCAACTCCTCTGTAGCCCTACATTGTTTATTGTATTATCATGAAATTTAATACACTGTATACGTAGATCCTAATATATATATGTGCATGTGGGTAGGATGTCCTGGCATATTGACATTTTTTTTTCAGTTATATCCCTTGGCTTGTTAGTTTTTGCAGAACCAACCTTGTCATTGAAACTCCAAATTGGTTTATAGCATCTTCATGAAGCTTTGTACTTGTACATTGTTAGATACTAACTTGTAGATGTTCATGGGCTGCTCAGCTGGTATGATTTTCTAGTACATTCAGTTTTTGTTAGTTATGTCCCTTTTAAATTAGAAATTTTGAATATCATCTCAGCATGAAACTAACTACATTGTACATTACATTGTTAGATCCAAATGTATCAATATCAGTTGCTATTCCATCATGCAGTTTCTTTAATAAACAATTTTAATTCATACAAGAACACACCCGCAACATCACATGCCGTGACTGTATTAAATTATTTTAGTATTCATATTGTCATCTGATAAAGTCATGCTGATTGTAAGGTGCATAGTTTTCTCTGCTTTCAAAATCTTTCTGTTTGAACCCGTCCTGGTTTTCTTATTACAATTAACTTACTATAAACTAAATTTAATTTTTTAACTAATTAATTAAAATTGATAGTGGTCATGGTGGTATTGAGGTGGGAAAAAAAAACTTGTTAAATAGTGTACTGTAGTGTAACTTAGATTTAAAACAACTACTGGAATAATTCCAGGTTCTCCTGATAGAGGAGGGATTTACAGAAGGAAACTACATGTGACATATACTTTTGGTATCGGTATTAGATTCAACTTGGAACTTGTTAATTATTGGTGGTATTTATTATTTGGAAAACGAAAGGGCTTAGAATGATGTGATTTTTAAACAACACCATTGTCCTATATTAGTTATAAAGTTGAATTCTTTAATTCATCGTTTTTACATCTTGCTGGCTAACAAATTGGATTTGTTATTTTAGTAGTATAGATATACATTAAATCAGGTAACTTAATATGAACTCTATTTCTTGCCAAGAAACACAGCCAATCAGACTTCAAATGATACTTAAAGGGGTACATAGATATAAGAAGATGTGGTATGAGTGCCAATGAGACAACTCTCCATCCAAGTCACAATTTGTAAAAGTAAACCATTATATAGGTCAAAGTACGGCCTTCAACACAGAGCCTTGGCTCACACCAAACAGCAAGCTATAAAGGGCCCCAAAAATGACTACATGCATCTGAGACAACTTCTAAAAAAACATAAGAACAAAGTCAAAATTTATATTATCATCGTCATTGATTCCCTGTATTTCAGTCACTAGCATATTCAATCCACAATGGTATTGGTCCAGTTTAGTGGACAGTTCTAGTTTTATAATAGGTTTGTTATTACAAATGTAATATCTAAAAAATCTATTTTAATTTATTAATCAATTCTTCATATATTCATAACATTAATGATTGTCACCTTGTGCAGACTGTATAGTATGATCTTCCTGTATATATATATATAAGCTACAAAACACATAAGTGTGTAGTGGAAAAACAATCTGATGCAGAAATTTCACATTGATTGTGATCACTGTGGGTGATTCACTCTGAAATATCTCACTGTCTATTCCATAGGTGATATATGACAAGGTCATCACCTTCAAAATGCCCTTTATCAAAGTTTTGCATTTTCATCATTCTAGTACAACTTATGTTCAATTTAAGTTGTAAGATATGTTCAATCACCCTTTATCAAAGACTAAAATTGTAAACCATAAGGTCATCACCTTCAATAACCCTTTATCAAAGACTAAAATTGTCAACCATAAGGTCATCACCTTCAATCACCCTTTATCAATGACTAAAATTGTCAACCATAATGTCATCACCTTCAATCACCCTTTATCAAAGACTAACATTGTCAACCATAATGTCATCACCTTGATCACCCTTTATCAAAGACTAACATTGTCAACCATAAGGTCATCACCTTCAATCACCCTTTATCAAAGACTAAAATTGTCAACCATAATGTCATCACCTTCAATCACCCTTTATCAATGACTAAAATTGTCAACCATAATGTCATCACCTTCAATCACCCTTTATCAATGACTAATATTGTCAACCATAATGTCATCACCTTCAATCACCCTTTATCAAAAACTAACATTGTCAACCATAATGTCATCACCTTCAATCACCCTTTATCAAAGACTAAAATTGTCAACCATAAGGTCATCACCTTCAATCACCCTTTATCAAAGACTAACATTGTCAACCATAATGTCATCACCTTCAATCACCCT